AGCTGGGAACCAAGAGCCCTGGGTTCTAGGCTCACCTCTGCCTCTCGTTTGGACAAGTCACTAGATTCTTGAGCATCAGCTGCCTACCTCTCAGGTGCAGTATTGCCAGCTGAGGATTCAGTCATAAGCCACATTTGTGCTACCAAGAGGCCTCTGGTTGGCAGAGGAGACAGGGACAAAAACAAACTCCTCAATGGCTACGTTCATTGAGCACTATAATAGTCCAGACAGTGCTCTGAGCAGCATGAACTCATGTAGTCTCTATTCGACAGCTTTGCCCTCGTCAGACACAAATATATCCCCACTTACAGATGACAACATGAGGCCTGAGGAGCTACACACATGTCCAGGTCTCATCGAGAGCTGGTGACAGCCAGCATTGCCCTGGCAGCCTGTCTCTGGAGCCTGTGCTTTCTGTCAACATGCGATTCTGCCAGCACAGTGAAAATATGTCAGCGTACGTGTCAGAGCAGGTACCTGGAACAGAGGGTCACAGCAGAGGGGTAGGGAAGATAAGGAGGCCGGGGAGAGCTTCTAAGAGCAGTACAGAAGGACAAGCAGGCATAGGACTGCCAGGCAGATAGGACTATGGGATAGCATTTCAGGTAGAGAGGGCTGAGGGAGCCTACCAAGCCAGAGCCACCCCAGCAGGTGGTCAGGTCAGACTGCAGGGCTCTAGAAAGACTTGGTAAAAGTTGAGGCTGAAAGGGCAGGAAGGGGCCTATCAGTGGAAGGACTGGCAAGTCAGCCTCAGAACCTGAATTTTGTCCTTGAAGTCAATGCTTCCCTACCTTGTATATACACACTGAAGTCTTGTGAGATTTGGACGTGCCAATATCTGCTCAAAATAATGGCTAATCCAGTGGCAATGAGTGTTTCTATTGCCAATGGAAATGATCTCCAAGTACAATCTCCCAATAAACAGAATCAGAGCTCCTTGGAGAAGTGACCTACTGTAGCACAACATGAACCCAGAACATCGCACCATAGCATACAGCATGGAGACTGAAAGTGACTCCTGGAGCCCCGTGAAGGACTCAGAAGCCAACCCAAAGGGGCTCCCAGGGGTCAGCAATGAGACCATGAAGTATCAACAAGGGTAATGACTACCATACATCAAAACGATGTTTATAACCACGAACTAAAAACTCTAGTTACTATAGTTGGTTGGAAGATGCTAGTGAGCTTCTCTGATATCTTGAAAACATAAATGCAGGGGGAGAATCAAGCACTTCTTGTATGAATTTAACTACTGGATAACCAAACAGTAATGGAAAGGAAGTATTTTAGTTAGCAGATGAAGAAGGAATGATGGAATCAAAATGCTGCCATCCTACAACCTCTCATTAATTAACAGAGTTAGATACTGAATATCAGTGGCTGCTCAAAAAACAGACAACCAGATATTGTATGTCCCTAACAGAAAAACATGAACCCACTATGAGGCCATCCCTTCCCCTCGAAACTGAGAAGTTGAATATGAGCATTTCTAGACCCAACTAGTGATTTATAAACCAAAGCCTTGATTGATAATTTTGCATTCTTAATCAAACAAATATAGAGAAATCTACCGAACACTTGGGGGTGACATTGCAAAATTCAGACTGTGGGAAACTCCTTCTGGAGGAGTGCCAGATAAATTACAAGAGAAGATAGTCATGGGGGAGCCTAGTGTCAAAAAAAGACATCAACTAGTCTCAATGTATGGACCTTATCGAATTCAATCTGTTAGAACATGCGCTTCCAGGGGGCCAGCAGGTGGCATAGTGGTTAAGGCACTGAACTCCCACATGGCAGATTGTGAACCTGGAGGCTTGAATGTCATGCCAGGTACATGTGTGTACATACCCAAAATCATAGGAGGAGAATGGAGTAGAAGGGATTGTGGCATGGACATTACCCCTAGGGGGTGATTTCTCACTTTCCCTCTCATTGTCTCTCTCTGGTGAGCACATATATCCTATGGCAAAAACCTAAAAAAAATTTTTTTAAATGCATTTATAGAATGTATGAGAAACTTGAAATTTGGACACTGACTAATCTGTCGTACTACAATGCTTTTTTTCCTGTTCCTCATGCCATCAGAAGCCTGGGCATGACAGTGCCTGGCATGAAGCTGACGGAGTAGGGACTCATCCAACCCCAGTGGGCCATGTGGGATCCAGTTTCCTGTGCAGAGTACCTAATCTCTAGGGCTGGTTCTTTGATTATTTATTAATTTATTTTTATAAGCTTTTATCAGGCCAGCTTTAAAGCTCTATATGGAGGGAGCCAGGTCCCACATGGCCAACGTAATTCAAATGTCAGCCCCCGGTGCTCGAAAAACATGCGGAGCATATGTGTATATGTGCCCAGGATCCTGATGGAAAGGAGAAATGGAGGAAAGGGAATTGCAGTGTGACCAGGCCCCAGTGTGGGGCACTCTCTTTTTCTCTCTCTCTCTGGCATGCACACATGCCCTTTGGCATTAACAAGAAAAAAAAACCTTATTGTTTAGAGCCATATATGAAAAGTCCATAGACGAAATAATATAATATCATAGATTTGCTACAAAATACTACAGAAGGGAGGATAGAAGAGTGGATGAAATAAGATTGCCACATGTTCATAATTGTTGAAGTTGGGTTCATTATATGATTCTGTGGCCTTTTACTTTTTATAGTTTGAAATTTTCCATAATAAAACATGATACAAATAGTAGGCCCTACCCCCAGAGATTCAAATTAATTAGTCTGGGCTTCAACTCAGGTGCTGGTAGTTTTTAAAAGCTCCCCAGGTGTTTCTAATGCTCAGCTAGGCTGCAAACTAGCTGCTCAAAATAATGGCTAATCCAGTGGCAATGAGTGTTTCTATTGCCAATGGAAATGATCTCCAAGTACAATCTCCCAATAAACAGAATCAGAGCTCCTTGGAGAAGTGACCTACTGTAGCACAACATGAACCCAGAACATCGCACCATAGCATACAGCATGGAGACTGAAAGTGACTCCTGGAGCCCCGTGAAGGACTCAGAAGCCAACCCAAAGGGGCTCCCAGGGGTCAGCAATGAGACCATGAAGTATCAACAAGGGTAATGACTACCATACATCAAAACGATGTTTATAACCACGAACTAAAAACTCTAGTTACTATAGTTGGTTGGAAGATGCTAGTGAGCTTCTCTGATATCTTGAAAACATAAATGCAGGGGGAGAATCAAGCACTTCTTGTATGAATTTAACTACTGGATAACCAAACAGTAATGGAAAGGAAGTATTTTAGTTAGCAGATGAAGAAGGAATGATGGAATCAAAATGCTGCCATCCTACAACCTCTCATTAATTAACAGAGTTAGATACTGAATATCAGTGGCTGCTCAAAAAACAGACAACCAGATATTGTATGTCCCTAACAGAAAAACATGAACCCACTATGAGGCCATCCCTTCCCCTCGAAACTGAGAAGTTGAATATGAGCATTTCTAGACCCAACTAGTGATTTATAAACCAAAGCCTTGATTGATAATTTTGCATTCTTAATCAAACAAATATAGAGAAATCTACCGAACACTTGGGGGTGACATTGCAAAATTCAGACTGTGGGAAACTCCTTCTGGAGGAGTGCCAGATAAATTACAAGAGAAGATAGTCATGGGGGAGCCTAGTGTCAAAAAAAGACATCAACTAGTCTCAATGTATGGACCTTATCGAATTCAATCTGTTAGAACATGCGCTTCCAGGGGGCCAGCAGGTGGCATAGTGGTTAAGGCACTGAACTCCCACATGGCAGATTGTGAACCTGGAGGCTTGAATGTCATGCCAGGTACATGTGTGTACATACCCAAAATCATAGGAGGAGAATGGAGTAGAAGGGATTGTGGCATGGACATTACCCCTAGGGGGTGATTTCTCACTTTCCCTCTCATTGTCTCTCTCTGGTGAGCACATATATCCTATGGCAAAAACCTAAAAAAAATTTTTTTAAATGCATTTATAGAATGTATGAGAAACTTGAAATTTGGACACTGACTAATCTGTCGTACTACAATGCTTTTTTTCCTGTTCCTCATGCCATCAGAAGCCTGGGCATGACAGTGCCTGGCATGAAGCTGACGGAGTAGGGACTCATCCAACCCCAGTGGGCCATGTGGGATCCAGTTTCCTGTGCAGAGTACCTAATCTCTAGGGCTGGTTCTTTGATTATTTATTAATTTATTTTTATAAGCTTTTATCAGGCCAGCTTTAAAGCTCTATATGGAGGGAGCCAGGTCCCACATGGCCAACGTAATTCAAATGTCAGCCCCCGGTGCTCGAAAAACATGCGGAGCATATGTGTATATGTGCCCAGGATCCTGATGGAAAGGAGAAATGGAGGAAAGGGAATTGCAGTGTGACCAGGCCCCAGTGTGGGGCACTCTCTTTTTCTCTCTCTCTCTGGCATGCACACATGCCCTTTGGCATTAACAAGAAAAAAAAACCTTATTGTTTAGAGCCATATATGAAAAGTCCATAGACGAAATAATATAATATCATAGATTTGCTACAAAATACTACAGAAGGGAGGATAGAAGAGTGGATGAAATAAGATTGCCACATGTTCATAATTGTTGAAGTTGGGTTCATTATATGATTCTGTGGCCTTTTACTTTTTATAGTTTGAAATTTTCCATAATAAAACATGATACAAATAGTAGGCCCTACCCCCAGAGATTCAAATTAATTAGTCTGGGCTTCAACTCAGGTGCTGGTAGTTTTTAAAAGCTCCCCAGGTGTTTCTAATGCTCAGCTAGGCTGCAAACTAGTGTAATCACTCATACAAGAGACACTGAGAGCCTGTACTAGGTTAAGATTTTACGTTAAGATCCCGAAACAGTTTTGCGTTCACAAAGTGCACTAGGAGCTTCTTAAGAAATGAATTTATTCTTTACCCTTTCAAACCATGAGGTCTACCTTTTTCTTTGGGCAAAACCAAGTACTGATGACAGAGGACCAAAGGACCATCCTCCAGGATCACAGACTTACCACTGAGTCCAGGAACTGAATGAAACACTCCAGCCCAGGCCTGGTTTCACAGAACTGCCGGAAAAGCAGCCTCCCAATTGGCTGCTTGTCACATAAACTGCAGTAATCCCTGTCTGGAGACAAAAGAAGAAGGTGGTGAGACCCAGGAGAGGGCCAAGCAGGGCCCATCAACCCACACCTGGATCCAGTGCCCAGCAGGATGACCAGCAAACTTTCAGGACCTCTTATTTATATCACAGGCTCTGAGGACTGAGAGAGGCGAGGTTGCTGTAGCAGATGCCATTTCCACCAGCTTGCATTTCCCATCCCGCTCCCCTTTTCCAGTGCTCTGATTTCTATATAGAGATGCTAGCAGTTCTGGAGACTATAGCTCCATCCGTTGGCTGGCCAGTCAGTTCACCATTCTTTCCTGATTAGGTGAGTGGATAAAGGTGGCAGGCATGTAACCTAGGCCAGTCCTGTCAGAGTGAACAGCAGACTTCACCCGAGAACACTGGGACGTAAGTAGTCTCTTCCTTGGATGGCTGTAGTGAGTGGGTGTGAGGCGAGTAAGTAGTCTCTTCCTTGCTGCTTGTCACATAAACTGCAGTAATCCCTGTCTGGAGACAAAAGAAGAAGGTGGTGAGACCCAGGAGAGGGCCAAGCAGGGCCCATCAACCCACACCTGGATCCAGTGCCCAGCAGGATGACCAGCAAACTTTCAGGACCTCTTATTTATATCACAGGCTCTGAGGACTGAGAGAGGCGAGGTTGCTGTAGCAGATGCCATTTCCACCAGCTTGCATTTCCCATCCCGCTCCCCTTTTCCAGTGCTCTGATTTCTATATAGAGATGCTAGCAGTTCTGGAGACTATAGCTCCATCCGTTGGCTGGCCAGTCAGTTCACCATTCTTTCCTGATTAGGTGAGTGGATAAAGGTGGCAGGCATGTAACCTAGGCCAGTCCTGTCAGAGTGAACAGCAGACTTCACCCGAGAACACTGGGACGTAAGTAGTCTCTTCCTTGGATGGCTGTAGTGAGTGGGTGTGAGGCGAGTAAGTAGTCTCTTCCTTGGATGGCTGTAGTGAGTGGGTGTGAGGCGAGGGTCTGCTACAATATTCTTGCCACTGCAAGGAAGCTGTTGTGAGGACAAGGCTGACCCTAGAGGAGATCAGAGCTGGGGAGACTATAAGAAGTAGAGTTGGTACCCTGGTGATGTCATGGATCTCTGGATCAAGCCATATTTGCAGCCCAAACTACATCTGAAAACCTATTTATAAGGTAATACATTCCCTTTGTCTAGGGCAGTTTGGAAATTTTAAAAAATTACTTGTAAAGACAAGCAGGTGGCACGGTGGTTAAGACGCTAGACTCTCATATGGCTGAAAGCAGTCTGAGTCCCAGACATGGAGACTTGTTTTCTCACTTTCTCTCTCTCTCTCTCTCTCTCTCTCTCTCTCTCTCTGTCTCTGGTGAGCAAATGTGTCCTATAGCAAATTTAAAAAATAATAACAATAATAATGATAATAAATTATTTGTAACTCAAAGAATCCTAGTGGATGAAGTAAAAAAAAAAATACATATTTTTGCCCAATTAGAGCAAAGTCCAATCTCAGGATGCTTCAAATGATGAAAACCCTGCATTTTTCAGCTGAGGAGCTAGAGGCACAGAAACAGGAAGTGACCCACCCTCAGCTACTCAGTAGCCAAGAAGGTTCTGAAGAAGAAATAGTGTACAACTCCCAGCCTGGAGGCTTAGAGATGTGAGTGCTAGCCAATGCCTTGCTGTTTTACTGTAAGCACTTACTTTCTTGCCTCAGTTCTCTTCTCTGGAAATCAAAAGTGCGTGTTAGAGCTAGGACAGGGGCCCCTTCTGGTTCTTCTGCAATGTCACTAAAACCTCTGCAAGAAGTTTCCCCAGGCCAGAAAGATGCTCAAAGCAATGAGACACGCTGCCTCGGACTCCCTCAAGCACTGAACACAAAGCCTTCAATTTTGCAACCGCACCAAAAACTGTCAGATGATTTCATGGGGAAACTTGGAGCTCTGGAAAGAGAGCAATTGGCTAGAAAGAATGACTGTTTTCTTGCTGGGTAAAGGAGAAACCAGGACAACAGGACAACCTCCCCTTAAGAAGGTTTTTTTGGGACCAGCAGGTGGCATGGTTGATAAAGTGCCGGACATTCCCACATGGTCAACCATGGTTCGAGTCCCGGACCTGGTGGCTTGCTTTCTCACTTTCCTTCTCTATCTCTCTGTGTCTCTCTCTTGTCAAATTTAATGAATTAATAAATAAAATTAAAAATAAATAATTCTTTCTTAAAAAAAGGTTTTGGGGACAAGCAATTGGCATAATGGCTATGGCGCTGAACTCCCATGTAGTCGATTGCGGTTCAAGTCCCAGATCCAATAGCTTAAACTCATGCCGGGCACATGTGCGTGCATGCCCAAGATCCCGAGAGGAGATTGGAGGAGAAGAGATTGCAGTGTGGCCATCCCCCCGGGAGGTGATTTCTCACTTTCTGTCTCTCTATCTCTCTCTGTCTTTCTGGCAAACACATGCACCCTATAGCAAAACCTCTCCAAAAAAAAAAGAAAAAGAAACGGTTTTCTTCTGAAATATGAAACACAACAAGGAGATGTAAACCCATAGGATCATTCCAAAGAGTTTTATCCATAGGAGGAAGAGCTCTTACTTGTGCAGAGGGAGGACATACTGGTCACAGTGAGCGTGGACTCTGGAGCAAAACCACCAGAGCTCAAATGACTGCCCCACCACTCTGCCAGTAACCTGATGCAACTGATTTGGCACGTTTGTCCCTCATTTTCCTCATTTGTAAACTAGGGACAGTAATAGTACCTGTCTCTTAGGACCGTTATGAGGATTATATTTTAAAAAGTGCAAAGAAAGTATTCGGGCCTGAGCTGTCACATGGGAAATGCTTACCACACACCATCCATTATCATCATGGATGTGAGTGTTCTGGTCTCCCTTCCCTCCCATCTTCCTTCCCTTAGGGAAGCTTCTCTTCCCTAGTCCACACAAAACCAGCCCAGGACTCTAGTCCTAAGGAAGCCGACTCCTCCTCAGCTTTGGAGAAGGGCAGATGGTTCAGTCTTAGCCAATCAGAGCCCATGTCTCCCAGCCACAAGAGATTCAAGGGCAGGCACGTGACTCATAAACAGCCAGAAGCCTCTGTCTCCTGGCCACAGGGATAGGTTCAGGGACAGGCCCCTGATTCCGTCCTAACCAATCAGGTCGGGGACCATGAGCAGCCCTGGAGTACTCCCTGGGCTTTCATCAGAACTTCCAAGAAGAGGCTGGCTGCAGCATGGGACAGCCTTAGTAACCATCAGCCAAGAGCTGCCAGGACTGTCTTTCCCTCCCATGGGGGATCCCACAGAGTGAAGCCAGCACAGGGACAAGCAGAGCTGAGCAGAGCCAGAGGAGCCCCTGGAGGCACCCCTGCCCATGGCTAGCCCTGTGCATGGACACTCATTTACCTGATACATGTGGAGTGTCTCTGAGACCTGAAAGGGCAGTGACAGGGCACACAGGCTTCTCCTTTCATGAGTAAACTGCCTGAGGGCAGGGACTACTTTTGGAGGAATTCTCCAGTTTTAAGTTCAACATGTAGAAGAAGGTGCTCAAAGACGTCTCCGTCCTCCCTGTCAAAGATGGATGTGCCATCTGCCAAGTGCCCCTCTTGGCTCCCTCCCCAAGTGGTTTGCTGGCTCAAACTAGTTCTGGACTATTGCCTTAATCCTGCCCTTCAACCATGAGGGCAGTCTCCACCTCTCCAAGCACAGATGGTTCACAATTAGCCACTCCAATAAGCATTTAGCCTCAACGTGTGCCAGTCCTAAGGGCTGGTGGTGGATATGGCCCCAGGCCTCAGGGAGCTTGGACTAGGAGGGAAAGGACAGTGGGGGTGTGTGTGGGTGAGCAGACAAGATCCCTAGTGACAGTAATAAAATGTCAAGTTAGATGAGTGTTCTCCACAGCCACAGCAGGGTACCTGGTCTCAATGGCCTGTGACAAGTCTGCGGGCTGCACCTGTTAGCACGATACCCTGCGGACACAGCCTATGTTCTCACTGCCTCCCACTCAACCCGATCCCCCAAGGGGAGGAAAACAAGCCTTCACATTGTTTCCCGATCAGCTGAGCTTTCCCAGCACAAACACAGAAGCAAAGTAAATTACCTGTGTTAAGTTCCAATTTTATTCAATTGTGGGAGAGGGCACCATACCCCTTAACATGTTTTGAGCAAGGTACCCCCATCCCCATGTGCTATATTGTGATTCCTTAAGTGTTCATCTGACAAGGGTTTTTTCTCTCCATATGGCATTTGCTGTCAGTGTGGAAACAAGACTCTTATAAACTCACAACACAGTAAACACCATGTGATCCTGACACAAGCTGTCAACACCTCTCCTGCGCCTCCTCCCAGCTGTAAAGAGGATCCCAGACAAGAAAGCCACTCATTGGGAGTCCAGGAAGAAATCAAAGGACTAGTAATTACCTTTCTGAATTTTTTTCTCAGTCTTAAATAAATGTAAATAGGCCCATCTTCCCAGGACGCACCCAAAACAACCACCAAATCAAAGCACAACATTTGCAGTTCCTTTAGAAGCAGATGAGCAGGGCACAGAAGGAAGAACTGGGAGTGGTCCAGGTGATAGGAGGAAGTACAATGTTCTTGGTGTCAAGAGTAAAACTGACGGCAGGTTGTTTCCTGAAAGTCAGGTGACACCGAAGTTGGAAGCAAGAGAAGGTCCTTGGGGTGGATCCTTTCTGATCTGTTTCAACATTAGCTGGAAGGTCTGCCCACAGCCCTTCTCCCAAGTGTGGTCTGTTGGGCTGGGTGAGGAGGAGCACGCAGGACAGAGAGGCAAGAAGCCTTTTCTGTCTCTGAATCTCTCTCAGGCTGGGAGGACCAGTGGAAGTCTGGACACACTTTGCACACGTTGTATGCACACACACAGCAGCTCTTCTGCTGAAAATTCTGCTCTGGACCACGTGTGTTGTTGATCTTTTCCTCCAAATCAGAAACTGTTGTTATTATTAGGGAACATGAAGCTGCCCGGCCCCATCCAATCATTCTAACTTTATCTTACTGGATCTTTCATTCA